GCCCAAGCCCGTCAGTTTCCTTTCTTCATCTCTTTATCAGTGTTTGTGACTGAGCTCCTTATCAACAGGAAACGCCTGCCTAAGGGGACGAGGCAGGTCCAGGGGGACTGGACGCCAGGGGCCGGGAATTCTGGGTAATGCATTGCCGGTGTCCAGTGGCCTTCTGCTTCCCAGGACCCAGTGTGGCTCCCAGGCTTTTTGGTGAGGCCCCTGGTGAATCATTAGGAAGATGGCACACCAGACAGGCCCTGAGGCTAAAGGGTCTGCAGAGAGCCCTGGGTGGGACGCCAGGCCTGGCCCTCTTTGGCCCAGGGCAGGCCATCCACCGGCTCAAGCTATGAATGAGAAGTGCCCTTGCCCTGAAACCCACCAAACCCCCTGTCCTAGCGGAGAGGCCAAGTGCTGTGACAAGTTCACAGCCGACTCAGTGATAGTCACCCACTGGCCCGTCCAGGGTGTGTGCCTCAGCTCTCAGAGGACGGTGCCCGACTGGGCATCCAGGCCTGGGACAACCAGGTGCCTGGCACAGACTTCTGAATGACGACATAGAGCAGGGGGCTCTAGCATGGGTTGACCTCCTACTGGGTGCCAGGTGCTTTACAGACACTGATCATCGGAGTAGGGTACTGGTCTCCCAGACGGGGACGAGGGGTCAGCTTTCCCATGACACTAAAATCAAATCTTAGTGCTGAAAATAAATGCCCACGAGGGATGTCTGGGCCAAGCAAAGCCTTATGGGTGGCCGCGAGGAACAGGTTTATCTAGACAGCCGTGTACGGGAACCGGCTGTTCTCCTAGCAGGAGCGGTGGGCAGGGTTTGTGTAGGACAGAGGATGCCTCGCCGGCCTCTGCCTATCCGTTGCCCTGAGCAGCCACATTCTGCCTTTGGTGGTGGCGGTAATAAAGGAAATTCCATGTGCCTCTTGCCCTGTCCCCGTGTCTCCTGGACAACCCCACTCCCCCCGCCCCTCTGCCATTCCGCCCTACCACTTGCTCCTGCCGCAGGGGATCTGGGTCAGTGAGAGTGGGTGGGTGAGAAAGAACAGAGAAGAGATTCATCCAGACGTGACACCCGGCAGGGCAGCAGCGACAAAACACTTGAACCTGAAAACTGCCTGAAAATAGACTGTGTCTACGGCATTATGCAAATCATATGCAAAGTCAAGAAGCCCTCTGTCTCTATTTCTAGCAAACTGAATGTGGCCCTGATGCAAGCCGCTCGTTCCAAGCGTCGCCCACCCGGCGTGACGCCTGTGCAGCTAGCATCGGCCCCCACGCGGGGAGACTGGACGCGGGACGTGCACCCTCCACGCCACTCCCAGGACTGGGTCTTTCAGGCATGAGGCCTTTGCTGGTCTGATAATCTTTATTTATTTATTTTTTAAATATATATTTTTTTTATTGATTTTTTACAGAGAGGAAGGGAAAGGGACGAGAGAGACACCAATTCAGCTGCCTCCTGCACACTTCCCACTGGGAATGTGCCCGCAACCAAGGTACACATGCCCTTGACGGGAATCGAACCCAGGACCCTTCAGTCCGCAGGCCGATGCTCCATCCCCTAAGCCAAACCGGTTCGGGCTCTTGGTCTGATAATCTTGAGGCAAGTACGGATCTGTGGGAAGCAGGTCATTCTTCGTGAAGGCTGAAGAGAGAGAGGCGGGACTTCGGAGGAAAGTAACGAGGAGGATACAAAGAACTGACCTTGAGGGCCTGGATACTGCGAAGGGGCAGGGGAGTACCTCAACGTCAAAGCTCCTGCTCCAGGGACCACCTTCCCCCCACCTGGGCATGTTATAGACACTCATCACCCCTAGGGGGGGCCCACACAGGTGACCCCCGCCCGCTTCGTAGAGGTGAGGAAATCAGAACCCGGGACTCCCTTGCAAACAGGCCAAAATTGCAAAGAAATGAACGGTTTTCTTTCTTTCAAAGCAGACAGGCTCCGAGGCTCCCCTCAGAGACGAGGCTCGGACAGGTGCCGCCCAAGAACTCTTCTGCCCGGGGAGGCCAGGAGCCGGCGCTCCTTTCCCAGACTCCAGCGGCTGCTCAGAGCCCCTTTCTGCCGTTTTCCTCCTGCCTTTCCTCCCACTCTCCAGGCGGTGTGGGCGTCAGGTGGGAGGGGGGGTATAGGGGTCAGGGGGTGGCAGGCACGGGGTGCCCGGAGGGGTGGGATGCCAGGAATACCCTCCCTTCCCCGGCACGGGGCTGAGAGGTGCCCAGGGAAGGAGGGTGGCACTGGAGGCTGTTTGGACTCCACATACACATGCTCCAGGCAGGAGGCCCACTGGTGTGTGTGTGTGTGTGTGTGTGTGTGTGTGTGTGTGTGTGCACGCGCGTGCAGGGAGTAGGGGAGGACCTCCGTGGTGACAGGAATTGGGGTCCCCTTTCTGTACTATACCCCAGGCAAGGTGGAGACCCCATTGAAGAAGGAATTGAAAACAGACTTCAGGCAGGCAGGTCCACGCCGCCTCTGAGTGAGGACAGGAAAGCTCCCTGGAGGTGCGGTTTTCAGGGGACAGTACCTGCAGAGCAGGCGCCGGGGGAGCGCACCCGCCGGCGCCGGGGCGGGTGAGGGGATCCCCGGGAAAAGCCCGCTGGTGGAGCGCAGGGGCGGGAGGGCGGCGCCGCTGGGCAGCCCTGAGGCCAGCAGAGGGCGATGTGGCGGCGCCGCCAGCAGCTGGACCCAGCAGCTCGGGGTCTGCACGGAAATCTGGGGCCCTGCACAGAGGGGTGTGTGTATGTGGAGGGGGTGGAGGGAGCGGGGGTTTGGGGGGTGCCTGAGCGAATGATGAGCTGTCAGTTAAGGGCTGAGTCCCGGCGTGATACCCTGAGTCCTTCCCCCCCCCTCCCCTACCCAGGTCCCCTCTGAGGCGGGCCACTGCAGAAGCACTGGCCTGGGAAGATTCAGCTGGAGCTCAGGATTCAACCACGGCTTTATTGACGACCTACTGGGTGCCAAGCCCCAGCTAAGTGCTCCCGCAAACAATATCTCCGGATAAGAGATTCCTTTTGACCTGGCCCGCCTTCCTGCCCTCAGGCCCAAGCATCACAGGGACAGCTCACCAGCGCCCCCTCCCCTGCTTGGCCGCCGGCCGTTCTCCCTGCGCTGGCCCCTTTTTCTAACCCTCTCCCTGTCCCTCCCCCTCCTGCCTCCATCCTCCTCTCAGGGATCTTCTAGTCCTTCAGCTTCTGGCTGTGGAGTCTCGGAAGGAGCCTGTTGGCCCCCAAAAATTCATTAGAGAGAAATCCTTCAGGGGAGCGCTGATTCCCGGGCTGGGTGGGTTCCAGTGATGAGGAGGCGTGAAGCAAGCTGCCCCGTGATGATCTGGGAAGCCAGCAGGTCCATCGAGCTTTCTGTTTTCACTCAGTTTCACTTCCTGGTTCTCCCCCAGGACCTTGCACAACGCTGGGAGCAGGCCTGGGAACGCGCCCTGGTGATGGCGGCAGGCGCTGGCCTGGGAGGTCGCGCTGGGTCATATACATCAGGAGGCTGTTTTCTTCCCCTCCTGTAGGAACTGAGGGCTTCTCTCCCCCTGCCCCAAGGGCTGAGGGCTGTGAGCTCAGGTCTCCCCAAGTTTGGGGTTGTCCTTGCCCCCATGAGCTCCACCTCCACCCCTACAGCCCCCTGGACCATCCACCTGCCTGGGTTAACCGCCTCTGTGCATAGACACCCACCTTTGACCTCCAGACGCCAAAGTGTCCCTGTGTTTCTCTACAACCACCAGATTCTTTCTAGGCACACACTTTCTGGGGCGTGGCCCAGGCCGGGACAGTGGGGAGCAGGACCCTGGGAGCTAGAGGCTTCCTGGCTGGAGTCAGGTTTCTCCTGAGCCTTGGAGGCCCTGCCAGAAGCCAGGCTCACCCCTCTCAGCTCTGGGTAGAGAAGGCAAAGCCACGGAGGGGGCTGAGGCTGGCTTGTCTGCCAAAAGGTCAGGGACTGTCTGAGCCCAAGGCTGGCCATGGGCAGGAACCGGAGCCTGGGGAATTAGACGAGGAGGCATGGCCTCAGATGAGCTTATGTGCAAAGCCCATCGTGGGACAAATAGCCAGGGCCTGGGCAACGTAGAAGGCACTGGGAACTGAGTGTGCACAGGATGGCACTGCGAAGAAAATTAGAGCTGAAACACCTCAGAGGACATCAGGACCACCTCTTCCCATATGCACCTGAAGAAACAGGGGCAAGCATCCAGGACCAGAGCCCTTCCCAGCCATGTCCTCTCAGGTATTCTGAAAGTCCTGGGCCTTCCCCATCTGACCCGCCACTTCTCCCATGGCCTATGACCCTGCCACACCCACAGCAGGGCTCCTTGGTTTTAATGCCCCGATAAGTCAGTTGGATGGGGATAGAGGAGGGGCCCAGACTAGGCCCCAGCTCTCTCAGACAGCTGGTAGGCAGCTAGCAGGGGGTCTTGTCCAGGAGACAGAGGCCCAAGGCATCACGGAGCTGAGATACAAACTCATGGGTCCTGGGTGTCTGGAGCTTGGCCAGAGGCAAGGGCCTGGCAGGGCAGGGTGTCTGCTGAAGGCTGGATGGGGCCCTGTGCCACGTGGCAGCTCTGGTAGGGCAGTGGGGTTGACCGAGGGCAGGGGGTAAAGTGCAGGCCCAGGCTCTCGGCCCAAGAGACTGGGATTCCCTGCCATGGCCGCCCTGGCACTGGGGCCTCCTTCGCTGTGTCCTGGGTGGCAGGGAGGGCGCCCAGGGCATGGTGGTGGGGACAGAGCCAGGCGACAGGGAGCCTGCTGCTCTGAGCGGACCAGACAGCGGGAGATCGGGTTTCAGCCCAGCTGTATTTTGGGCGGGATGGGCTGGGGGCAGAGCCGGCCAGGCACAGCTGCCCCTAGAGGGGCACCCCCTCTCCAGCACACACACACTACCTCCATCCAGACAGACCACCATTCACCGCTCCCCTCACCCCTAAACACACACACACACACACACACACACACACACACACACACACACGGCAGGCTGAGGGGAGCCAGGTGTCCGCCGGTGGCTAGTCAATCACTTTGGGCTTCTCGAAGCTGTTGCAGAGTTTCTGCAGTGTCTTCTTGATGCGCAGCGCAGTGAGGCGGGCGGAGGGGTTGGGATACCAGCACTCCCGGATCATCTGGACCACCCCCGAGAGGACCTGGGAGGGAGAGGAAGGCCGGGAGAGAAGCAGAGACATGGGTCAGGGAAGATGGGAAGGAGGAGGCCAGGAGAATGGCCCAGGCATGGGGAGACACAAGCAGGAGACAAAGGACGAGAAGAGGGGCGATGAGAGTGTTGAGAAGGAGGCGGGAGGAAAGACAGGAGCCGTAAGGGTTGGGGGCGAGGGGGCGGGGGAGGATGGAGGGATCCAGGCAGGGATGAAAAGAGTAAAATGAAAAAACAGAAGAGGAAGAATGGGATGAGGATGGAGAAAGGCAGGCAGGACAGAGATGTAACTCAAATCTTCAGGGGCACCCAGTCCCTCTTGGGGAGCGGGGTCTGTGGAGCACCTTCCCCCACCCTCCACCGCCAGCGGGACCCAAAGAAGGGCGGGTATGTAAGTCTCGGGGCTCCCACACCCCCAATCAGACCCCAGTGCTGAGGGCTGTGTCTCCCAGCCCCATGAACCCTGGCTGGTGTACCCTGGAAGAACAGGCGGTGAGCACTGCCCCCAACATGCAGGTGTCCAGGGAAGAACCCATCCCAGGAAGCTCAGATTTAATCTCCTCAAGCTGGTTCTTAAGAGGATTGCATGTGTGTGTACATCTGAGTGCATGTGTGGCTTTTTGTGGATGTGTATGCTGTGTAAAAATGTCCATGTGTCTATGTATACGTACACGTATGTGTGTGTGTACATTTGTTTATTCTTTTAATAAACATTAATTGAGCACCGATGGTGGGCCAGGCACTGTCCTGGGTAATGGAGATATAGGGTTACAAAGGAGACATGCTCTTTGTCTTCACAGGGTCAGCATTCTGGCACATACGTGCACGTGTGTGTATGTATCTGTGAGTGTGTATTTAAGTAGAAGCATGTGCGTGCCTATATATGTTTATATACATGTGAGTATGTGTATTACAAAAGCATGTGAAGTATTTTGAGCAAAGATAAAAAAACAAACAACAACAAAAACTATATAGTAAGAAATGCAGCTGAGAACCTCTGGTTTTTCCAGCAAGATGAAGGATTCTGAAAATCCCAAAATAACTAGAGTCCCTGTGGGGGTCCACAGGACAGAGATATGGGAGGGTGTGTCCAGGGAGGACCCTGGAATCTGTCCGCTAGAATCTATCCGGGGAAAGCCGAGGCCTCAGACACAGGTTCCTGGGCTCAGACATTCCAGCTGTGAGCCACCACCCCATGCCATCTCACCGGGTCTGCAGCCAGCCTGTTGTGGATGGTGGGGGTCTGCTGGTCCACACACACCACCTTCTTCATGTCCTCAAAGCTGGGATCGTTGGGCACCACGTCATAGAAGGGTGGCTTATAGTCCTCCACAATGCCTGGGAAGCGGGGAGAGAGGAGACAGGGCAGTCACTCAGGACCCCAAGAAGGCCAATACTACCTAGAGAGCCTTGCCCACCTTCTGTCCAGGGCCAAGATACCAGTTGTCTGACCATGGTACCCTTTAGAGGGACACTATAATATCCTATCTAATAAGGAGGGAATATGCTAATTGACTGCCCCTACCTCAAAGATGGCAGCACCCATAGCCAATAAGGAGGGAACATGCTAATTGACAGCCTCACCCTCAAAGATGGCGGCGCCCACAGCCACAAGATGGCGGCACCAGTCCCCTCAGTCCCCCAGCCACCCAGGGCTGGCCCGAGGTGCAGGCAAGCCTCGGATGGTGGCTGCCCAGCTGCCCAGGGCCCATCAAGGCTCAGGTAGCCAGGGTCGGCCGAGGCTTGAGCTGCTGGCAGTGGCAGCAGCAGAGGTGTGATGGGGCATCATCTTCCCTTGATTGCCTGGTTGCCTCCTGCCCCTGAGGGCTCCTGGACTAGCAGAGGGGGCAGACTGAGCTGAAGGGATTCCGCGCCCCCCCCCCCCAGTGCATAAATTTTCATGCACTGGGCCTCTAGTTATAAATATATTTATAAATAATAATTACTACTGCCATTTATTTTGCACTTACCACGTGCCAGGTATTGAGCTATAAATACTCTATATGCACTATCCTGTCTTTATAGTGATCATATGTGGTGGGTACTATTATGACCTGTGTGTTACAGATGAAGAAACTGATGCTCAGAGAAGTTGAGGCCAAGGTTACACAGCAAGTAATGGCCGAGCCAAGACTTCAACTGATTGGATCCCTAGGCCAGATCTTGTTCCAGCCTTTCCATTGCTGCTTCCTACCAGGCCCAGGCACCGCTCACAGGTCCCAGTGATCACAGGTGCCCATCCAATGTCTACGGTCCTAACTGCATTGCACTAAATCCTCACAAAAACATAAGGAAGGAAGCAATGTTATGTGAGCCTCCCTCTATAAGCAATGAGATTAAGGCCACAGTGGTCTTAATTAAGGAAATTAAGGAGCTTACCTAAATTAAGGTGAGCAGACGTCCTGCTTTTGGCGGGACAGTCCCGATTTTTAACAATTTGTCCCGCGTCCCGTGGCGTTTTAAAACAGTTTTTGTTTTTCCTTTTCTTTTTCTTTTTTTTCTTTTTTTATTTTATTGATTTTTCACAGAGAGGAAGGGAGAGGGATAGAAAGCTAGAAACATCGATGAGAGAGAATCATCGACCAGCTGCTTCCTGCACACCCTCTATCGGAGATGTGCCCGCAACCAAGGTACATGCCCTTGACCGGAATCAAACCTGGGACCTTTCAGTCCGCAGACCAACGCTCTATCCACTGAGCCATACTGCTTTCGGTTAAAACAGTTTTTAAACATCGGGACATCTGCTCACCTTGACCTAAATGCATAGGCAATGAGTGAGAGTTAGGATGTAAGCCCAGAAAATCCAACCTAAGGCCATGCTCTTGACCTCCATGCTACACTCAAGGGAGGGTAGCTGGCTGGCCGTTGGGTGAGGATGTGGATGCAGGAGAAGGAGGAGAAAACGACTCTCTGAAAAGAAAGAAATTTCTACCCATGTCCAAATAACACCCACCCCTCTCAGGGACGGCACCCCCCTCTCCCCCAGCCAGCAGCACCTCCTTATACCAAGTGCGCAGTCCTTAGCAGGGGCTTTCTGAAAACGATGCCTGCGGCGCTGCAGACGGCCGGGCAGGAAAGGCCAGGCCCGGGACAGTGCCCCCTGCCCCACCCGGCTTCCCAGGCCGGCGGGGACCAGGGCCGCACGGCCACAGCCCCAGCCCCAGAGGGAGAGCCTGCGCCAGCTGTCCTCCGTGGCGGGCTTCCAGGCCAGCCCCCGGCGGCTCGCGCCCTAATCAGTGCTGCGCAGAGGCCCGAGCGTGTCTGATGGGCCTTTAATCAGTGCCGGGGCTGACACCAGATTACAGTGTTTATAGTGTGCCGCGGATCTGTGTGGGGCTGACCGGGCTTCCCTCCCACCGCCCAGGAGCCTGCAGCCAGCCTGCCCTCGGCCCTGGCCGGTCCAGCAGCCTGGTCCAAGGGGCCTCAGAGCCCCTGTCAAGGGGCCCCCCGTCCCTGACATCAGCCCCCGTGAGCGGACGCTAAAAGCTCAGGCCTGAAGGGGCAGGACCTGGAGCCCCTGAGCCTCCCAGAGGGACTGGTTAGACCTCAGCCTCCACCCATCGATGATGTGACTGCTGAGAGCACACGAAGCGGGGCCTGGGGCTGGCCCCGCACAGGTGCTCAGGGAATGAGAATGTCCCTCTCCCCAAGGATCAGAGCTCCAGTCATATCCGAGGGTGTCTCCCAACAGCCAGGATATGACTGGAGCTCTGTGGGCAGCCTCCGCAAAGACGGACACACCTCTCCGGCCAGGCCAGACGCCACCCCTCACCCATGCCCCCAGGAAGGCACTGGCCCCGGGGCTGCCCAGGGCATGGGGTCAGCAGGGATGAGGTCCCTCTGCCGGCTCCAGGTCACTCTAAGTCCGAGTCCCCTGTGGTGCCCTCAGGAACACGAGGAAGCAATAAGCAGGCAGTGCAGGCACTATTGGATCTCGCGTGCTTTGTGGTCAAGGAAACCAAGGACCAGGGAGGATTAGGTGGCACAGTGGTAAACAACCCTGGCCCTAGAGTCAGTGCCTGGTTTCAGACCCTGGCGCTGCATCTAACCAGCTGTAATTCTGGGTCTCAGTCCCCTCATCTGTAAAATGGGGATGATACTGTGTCAGGGATTCATTACGACAGCAGTAATTGCTACTAATATTTACTGCGATCCAGAATATTTTGTTTGGATGATCTCAACCATTGGAAACTATTTTCATTCTCACTTCACAGATGAGGAAACAGCACAGAGAGGTTGAGGGACATGCCCATGGTCAGTGGCAAAATCAGGAACCGAACCTAGGCAGCCCGATTCCCAGCCCACGCGGCTCCATGATAGAAGCGATCCCAGCTTTCTGCCAACAGAGGATGATCGAAGAAGACAATACCTGTGCATCGCATGGCATCTGGCACATATTTAAGCTCGATAAATGTTAGCTGCTATTAATATTCCTGTTATTATCACTTCCCCAAGATTTCACAGCCAGAACCACAGACTCTGATGAACCTTAAAAGGGTGCTCAGCTGAACCAGCTGGCGAGGAGCAACGAACGGAACACAGGCCGTGTGGCCACCCGCCCCTCAGGCCACAGGCGCCAGCCACGACAGGAAGGGCCCACCCACCTCCTGCCTGTCCATCCACCTGCCCCCCCCCCAGCAGGGTGGGCCCTCACCGTTGACGATGGTCCGGCGGGTGATCTCCCACAGCACCAGGCCGAAGGCCCAGATGTCCGTCCACTTGTAGGACTCGAAGCAGTCGGTGCGGATCTGCTCGTCCAGCACCTCGGGGGCCATGTACCGCTTGGTGCCCACGCGCGGGTTGTTGCCGATGTCCAGGTAGTCACTGCCCTGCGAGTGCATCACAGCCAGGCCTGTGGGCACCGGGGCTGTCACTGCTGCTGCCCTCCCCCACCCCGGCCTGCGGGCAGGGCGGCCCCACCCCAGAGGGGGCAAGGCGGGGTTGCAGGCAGGTGGAGACCTGCTCTGGGCGGGCTGGGCGCACACTGGCTCCCTCCCTCTCCGGTGCCCAAGGACCCAGCGGGGTGGGAGTGGGCAAGACAGGCATTCTTATGCCATTTCACAGAGCGGGACCCCACGGCCCCATGAGCAACAGCGATGCAGTCAGTGAAGCTGAAGGGTAACCCAGGTTCCTGGCTCCCTGCTCCTTTCTCCCAACTCCCGGAGGAGCCCGGGGTGGGGTGGTGGAAGGAGTTTAAGCTTAAAAAGAGTGTTAGGCAGCCGAAACTGGTTTGGCTCAGTGGATAGAGCCTCGGCCTGCTGACTGAAAGGTCCCAGGTTCGATTCCGGTCAAGGGCGTGTACATTGGTTGCGGGCACATCCCCGGTGGGGGGTGTGCAGGAGGCAGCTGATCGATGTTTCTCTCTCATCGATGTTTCTAGCTCTCTATCCCTCTCTGTGGAAAATCAATAAAAAATATATATATTAAAAAAAAAGAGAGAGAGATAGAGGCAGACGGCAAGGTTCTTGCAGAGGGGAAATGAGACAGCAAACATCTCTGTAAGTTTTAACGCACCAATCAGAATTGCCAGGGCACGCACACAGACACCTGGGCGAAGGTGGAGTCCAGTGGACCGGGAACAGAGCCGCCCACAAAGGGGCAGCCCCTCCCCTGCCCGCCCCGCCCCTAGGAAAAGCCCACCTCACTCCAGCCGGCCGCTCACCCAGGTCCGCGATGCAGCACTGCAGGTTGCTCTTGACCAGCACGTTGCGGCTCTTGAGGTCGCGGTGGGCGATGGCCGGCTTGCCCTGCGTGCCGAAGATCTCCACGTGCAGGTGCGCCAGGCCGCAGGCCGCCGACACGGCCAGCCTGAGCGCCAGGCGCGGCTCCAGCGTCTGCCGCTGCAGGAAGTCGTAGAGCGAGCCGTGCTCGTGGTAGTGCGTGATGAGCCACAGCTGCGTGCTCGAGTTGCGGGAGGTCATGTCTGAGGCTATGAAGCCTGTGGGCAGAGGGTCGGGGGCTCAGCCACGGGCTTAGCGATGAGGGAGTCTGGACCGGCCAGGGTCAGGGCTGGAGGCGCAGGGCGGGCTGAGCCAGGGCGCGCAGGGCTGGGGCGGAGGCTGCTCGGGCTCAGGGCGGAGAGGAAGCCGGAGTCAGAGGGTGGTGGGGGCTGAGGCCCGGCTGGGAGTCCTTCAGGGGTGGGTGTCCATAGGCTGGGGACTCCGGCCTTGAGTGCAGGGGATGAAAGCCAGGGCCTGGCCTCCTTCCCCCCCCTCCCACGCACTCCCCCCCCCCTCCTGCAGCTTGCCCAGGATGTTGTCGTGTCTGAGCAGCACTGTGTTGTAGATCTCAGTCTCCCGGAACCAGGACTGCTCGTCCCTCGAGGAGAATATCTTGACCGCCACACTCTCACCGTGCCACAGGCCTCGCCACACCTCGCCATAGCGGCCCTTTCCTGATCCAGTGCCGGGGGGGAGAGGGGGGCGGAGGGGAGAGGAGGTCACACAAGCTCCTGGGCACAGCAGTCCCCAGCTGCACGGACCCGACTGCGGAACCTCTGACACTGATGCTTAACTTAACGCAGACCCACACCCCTCTCGCAGGGCACCCCGCCTGCTTCTTGCTCCCCACTGGCTTCGGCAGAAGGATCTAGCCCCGACCGGCCTCCGCCTGCCCTGTGCCCAGCACAATTCCCATTCTGAGCCAGTCCTGGCCCCGTCCGTGACTCCAGAGGCCCAGAGCTCTCGCGCCCCTCCCTCCAAGCTCACGGGAGCCCTGGGTCCCCACCCCCCAGGCGCACCCACCCACCGCTCACCCACACACTCCACCAGGGCCACCTGCCGGGCCACCGTCCTCTGCACCAGGAAGGGGAGCCCCGAGCCGCTGCCTGTGGTGCAGTCACTGTCCAGGAAGTCCTGAAGGCACCAAGAGGCCCCTGAGAGCTGTCCCTCCGCCAGCCCCCTCCGCCCTCCCTGCCTGGCCCCTGCTCCTGTGGCCTGTGCGCCTCGCTCACCCAGCTCCCCACCCACTGGCATCTGGGTGTCTGTGATGGTGCCTTTCTCGGCTATCTGTCACTCACTCCGCATCCCTCTGATTCTGTGGCTTCTGCTTATTCCGCCCCCCACTCTCCCCCCAGACCCTGTGTCCCATGTTCCCCACGCTCATACCCCCAGCATGCTGTCCCCCTGCTCGGATGCCTTCAGGATGAGTCTGGAGTCGCCCAGCTCGCTGTGCAGGTGCTGATGCTTCTTCTTCAGCCTCCGGATATGCCACAGGCCCAGGGCACACGAGACCACCAGGACCAGAAAGCCCAGCGCAGGGCCCAGGATCAGAGCCAGCTGGCTCTCTACTGGCGGCTGCTCCGGGGTGGGGAGGGCTGCCAGAGAGAGGACACTGAGGCCCTACCGCCCCTGGCCACTGCCGTTTGGTCCCAGGGTCCGCCTCGCCGCCGTCCCGCAGGCAGGAGAGGAAAGCGAGGTGAGGGGGCGGGGTCGGAGAGGCGGGGTGGGCGGTGCGGACGCAGCACACAGACATACCCTCCAGCTCCAGGGACACGTTGTGGTTGCAGAGGGAGCTGTAGCAGCAGTAGTGGTTGACGACATCGGTGGCACGCGCCCAGCAGAGCTCGGGGTGCATGCTCCCGCAGCCCCGGTGCTCCTGGAGGTGCCTGCCCTCCTCCCGCACCAGCACGACGGTGCACCAGGTCCCCCGGCAGGTAGACCCCTGGCATCGTGGGCCCTTACACGTGCAGGTCAGCAGCGGCCCCCGAGAGGCCCTCACAGGGTCGCCTGGGGGACCCAGCAGAAGCTCAGTCACCCCCAGCGCAGTTCCCCAGGCTGAGCCCAGCACCCACTGCTCTCTCCCCCTCTGACCTCTCCGACAAACCCCTTGAGGCCTTGGTCCCTGAGTTCCACCCTCAGCTTATCCTTCCCTCCAGGGGGCAGCTGAGGCTGTGAGAAGCGGGCCTCCATCCCTTCCCTGACCCCAAGGCCTCCTCCCCAGTTCCAGGCCCAGCCCCGGCCCCCAGCCCCAACCCTGAGGACTCTTCCAGGCCCTCTCTGCCCACAGCCCCACCCTCTGTACCCCCTAGATAGAGCAAAAGGGGCTTGGGGTAGCCTGTCTCCTGCCCTCCAGCCGAGCTCCAAAGTCCCTTCACCCCAGCTCCTCAAACAGCCCCAGCAGGAGCTGAACCCCTTTCTCCATTCAGGCCCCTGCTCCCTCCAGGACTCACCCTGGGTCAGGTTCAGAGCCATCAGCAGCATCAGAAGGCATCTCCTGGGGAGGTCCAAGCTCATGGTCCTGGGGAGAGGGGCAGGAGAGGGGGTGCAGCGAGATCTGTGAAATGTGATCCCCTCGGTGTTTTCAGCCACTGACCGTGGGTCCCTCCCGCCCAGAGGAAATCACTGGGAGTGTTTGGGGGGGCAGGCAGGCCTCCTCCCGACTCCACTGCGCCCGGCTTTGGGGTGGGGCCTGCAGGGGAAGTCCTGGTTCACTTCCCCATGGAAACCATCCTGTTCGGGGTAAAGGGTGGGGAGCCACGCTTAAGTGACTGAGAGCTTCGGGGAGACTCCCAGCCCCGCAACCCTGCTGCTGAGCTACAGCTGAGGGCACAGAGGGCTCGGGGCTGGGGCGAAGGACCGTTTCTTCAGCAGCACCCCCTTCTATCCTCGGCCTCTTGCCCATCCCCTTCTAGCCTCCCCCCGCCCCCCGCCTGCCCACCCATTTCCCAGCGCCCCCTCCCGCCCCAGCCCTGGCTGCCTCAAACATAAACAGGCTCCTGTCTTCACTTCCTGCCATTCAGGGTCCCGCCAAGCTGGGAACAGGAATCAAGATTGTTTAGATTGGGGTCTGGATAGAACAGGCAGGAGTCACGCACAGCATGGAGGGCAGGACACACTCCCAGGGCGGCCCGGAGCAGCCCCTGCTCTGGACACCCCTGTGACCGAGTCCCAGGGGACACCGAGAGCCTCACTAAGCCCTGCTCTCGCTTAGAGATGACAGGATTAAGGCTCAGGCAGGGGAAGAGACCTGACCAGGTCCAGACAGGATTCAGTGGTGGTACCAGGAGCACACCCCAGCTGTCCAGACTCCCAGTCCAGGCTCTTTCCTCTCTGTCTCCCAGTCGGGGTGGCAGCCCATGTCCGAGCCCTCAGGGCTGTAGCCACCACACGCAGCTCCCACAGTGCCGGCTCACTAGGCGAAAGGAACCTCCTGCAGCCAGCGTGTCAGAGGCCCTCCCTGCACCATCCCTGGCCCCCTTCTCTGTCCTTGCTGTCCTGGGAAAAGAGGGGGCGGGGCCAGTGCCATGGGGAGGGAAGTGAAACCCACTTAGACACTAAATGCTTGACCTTCCGTGGCTAAGGGTGACCTTTCCCAGAAGCTGGATGGAGAGTGTCGAGGGGAGTAATTCTGGTCTGTGACACTCCCCAAACCTGGTCCCACAGCGACTAGTGCTTCGAAGCTGCCTCCTTCTTCATTTCTCTAAGGCTTACAACAAGCAGATCAGGGCCGGGGCTTCAGCAAGAAGGACTGAGGTCAGACAGTAAGAAGCACTTTCTGAACGGGGGCAATTAAGCAGGGTTTTGCCTGTGGACTGGGTCCCCAGATAGGACTCGAGGGGCGGGCGTGTCTTCTGACCGGGCGAGGCTGACTGTGGCCACAGAAGCATCGAAGCCACGGCCTAAGAATGGTGCCAGAAGATGGAGATGCTGAGGCTCTGGGGCAGGATGGCGGGGGTTGGAGGGCGCTTTGTGTGCCTCTCTGCCGGTGGCAGCTCTGCCTTCCTGCCTGGGCTTCCTCTGCCCCAGAGGCCCGGAGCTGGGGAAGGAAATGGAGCCCTGGGCCGCCGCAGCTGTGTCCCCAGCCTCCGCCTGACCTCCTGCCTCTGGCCCCTCCTGGCAGGCGCTCTGCGGTGGGACTGGAGCCCCAGACAGGCTGAATGTGTCCACTGGGGTATGCAGGCAGGAAGCCATCCTGGCAGTAGCCTTTGCTTGCCCAGAAAGCAGTGGAGGAAAGGGTATGGGCAGGAAGGAAAAGGTGGAAAACAATGAGGATAAATCTGGCATCCTCCTAGGAGCCTTTGCCCGCACTCCACTTCCCTGACCATGCCCCAGGGCACCCTCTCTCCCTCTCTCTTCAGTAGGTATCAGACTCCCCTGAAGGGCTTGATTACAATGGACACTCTTCGGTCTCCCCCCACTCCAGAATCTGATTTGGTCAGAGTCTGGGATCAGCAAGAAACATGCTTTATTTATTTATTTATTTATTTATTCATTTATTTTTTAATCCTCACCTGAGGATATGTTCTTATTTATTAGAGAGAGAGAGGGAGAGAGGAACATTGATCGGCTGCCTACCACATGTGTCCCAACCATATATGCAATCTAGGTATGAGCCCTGATAGGAAATCAAACTCACAACCTTTTTGGTGTACGGGATGATGCTCCAACCAACTGAGCCACCCCATCAGGGCAAGAAACATGCACCTTAAAAAAGTTCCCCGGGCCCTGCCCTAGCCGATCTGGCTCAGTGGACAGAGCATCGGCCTGCAGACTGATGGGTCCCAGGTTCGGTTCCGGTCAAGGGCATGCGCCTTGGTTGTGGGCACATCCGCAGTATGTGCAGGAGGCAGCTGATCATGTTTCTCTCTCATCCATGTTTCTAACTCTCCCTCTCCCTTCCTCTTTGTAAAAATCAATAAAATATATATTTTTTAAAAAGTCCCCCGGATAATTTCAATCAGTGGGCACCATAAGGTCCTACAGCACATGCAACGCAGTCTCCATGCTTTCATTTCATAGGACCTGCTGGTGAGCAGGCGTGGGGTACAGAGGACAGGACTCTCACTCCCATCCGGGGACCTCCCCTTTACGGGAGAAGAAGGACACGCCAGGCTAAACATGGAAGTCAAGGTCTTGGAAACACTGTGGGGGGAGGGCGGGTCCCAGCGTTGCTCCTGACAGCGGATCTACCTCAAGCCTCCCAGGCCCAGGAGGGGCACAGGGAGGACCTGGCTCTGGTCTCATCCGGGAATGCGGGGGAGTAGCATTGTGGCTATCCAGTTTCTAACTGTGCCCAGTGTCAGGGTAAGTACGGGCGGGTGCTGACCAGTCCAAACGCAGAGCTGACTCCGTGTGATCCTTCCTGCAGCGGGACTCTAGCACAAGTGGACGCCTGGGGGCTGGCGGCATCCTTTCACTTCTAAGCAAACGGGCACAAAAGACCTCCTGCTGCAGAAGCATCACTGTAATTGGCCAGAAATCACAACTGCTAAACTCATATCAAACATTAACTTACCCTGTGAAGTCTTTAGTAAAAAGAGTTAACCTTCTCTGAGTATGACTTTTGTGCTACGTACTGAACTTTAACGGTTGACCTCGTTTAATCCACACAACAACCCAAAGAGGAAACTGAGGCTCGGGGACGTTAAATTTGTTGCCTTGATTTTTAAAAAATATATTTTATTGATTTTTTTTTTTTTTTTACAGAGAGGAAAGGAGAGGGATAGAGAGTTAGAAACATCAATGAGAGAGAATCATCGATCAGCTGCCTGTTGCACACCTCCCACTGGCGATGTGCCCGCAATCCAGGTACATGCTCTTGACTGGATCCAAACCCGGGACCCTTCAGTCCGCAGGCCGACGCTCTATCCACTGAGCCAAATCAGTTTCCGCTGTTGCTTTGATTGACATAAATTACTGATCATAAATCCTTCCTTGGTCACTTTATTCCTCCAGGTGGTTGGTGCTGGGTGAGCCCCACCAAGGAGGAAAAAGAGTGAGTAGGTCTCACCAACATGAACAGATTGCCCACCGCTGTCCTCAGCAGGGGCCCGGTGTGGGTGTGCTTAGATGTGGAGACAGAAGCCCTGTTAGCTGTAGGTGTAGTCACAGGTGGGAGAGCCAGAGCGGGGGTGCTGGGAAGGGGGTTGTCAGTCTCTGCTCCCCATCACCCCTGAAGGGCTGATGAAACCTGCTCTGGCCAGCAACAGTGGCTCTGCCCACCCACAGGTCTGACCCAAACAGGGGAGGCCGGACTGAGCGGCCCCCACCAGGCTGCCCCTCACCAGACACAAAGCACTTTCTCTGCATCACTTCCCGAACCCTCAACAGCCATCTAGCACCACGCCTGTGCAGAGGAGCACAGAGGTCAGGATCTGGCTCCGGCTCATGCAAACTTGAAATCAAATCCCGTCTCGGCCACGTAGAGCTATGAGATTTGGAACAAGCTACTTAAACGTTCGGGGAGGGAGGGCGGGTCCCAGGTTTGGGCTTCCCTGCGTGAAATGAGAAGAATAGTGCTCATTTCATAGGTACCAGGTAGTAAAATCAGTTAGCAGAGTACTACATGGCACATAGTAGGCCCTTAACACGTGTTAGCGAAGCCCAGCGGTCCACTCACACCCTCCCTGTGGCTTCGGACACGCGGTTGCTGCCTGAACCTGCGCTTCCTCTGCGGGGTGGGCAGGATACCCGTCTGCTGTGCGTGGCGAGGATTTCAGGAGAAATACAAGTCTGCTCAGTACTCACTAGAGGGCAGTTACCTTTAACCTAAGGTGCCAGACCGTCCAGGTGTTGGCGGGACAGTCCTGATTTCTAACAATTTTTCCCCGCATCCTGCGGAGTTTTAAAAAAGTCCCGATTTTTTGAAAGATTGGAAACATTGGACAGATGCTTTCCAAAAATTGGGACTTTTTTAAAACGCCGAGGGACGCGGGAAAATTGTTAGAAATCAGGACTGTCCCGCCAACACCTAGACGGTCTGGCCACCTTACTTTAACCGCCCAGTGAGATGGAGGGGCAGGCACCAGGACAAACGGGGCAGGGAGGGGTTAGAGAGGACAGACCTGATGCCGCCAGACGCTGCCCATAACCACAGAGGGTGAGAGCTACGGTCCACCTTGGCCCTGACCTCGAAGAAGAAAGTGGGGGGTGGGGGGGATTTCAACAACACTGTCCTCCAGGGAGGAGGGAAACCTGGGGCTGCCTCCTGCAGGGAGCTTGCTCCCTCCGGCCTGCGCTGGAGGGAGGCCAGGGCAGCGGGACCTTACCGCCAGGGTTAGAGGTGAGGCTTGGGGGCTGGAGCTACAGCGCCAGGTCCCCAGCAGGAGCTGCCGGGGTTGGGCTGCTCAGACCTCTGACGGGGACCCTCTCCCCCAGGCCGGCGGGGACTGTGACCGTCCTCCCTCCTCCGTCCTCCTGGGTGAGGCAGCGGGAGTGCGCCTGAGGGGTTAGGGGTCCCGTGCCCCCGAGGAGCTGGGCTGACCCTGCGGCGACCTCCCCAAGGGGCTGTGCCCGAAGGAGGGCCGCCTTCCCCCTCTCCCCGGGTGGCTCAGGCCGCCCCCCAATCCCGGCCCCGCCCGCGGACCGCTTCTCACCTGTGGCCCCGGGCGGCGGGCGCTGGGGTGCGGGTGCGGGAGCGGGAGCGGCGGCCCGGGAGCCCCGGCGGCGGGCGGGCGGGGTCTGGGCGCGGGGGCCGGGAGGGCGCGCTCGGCGCTGCTGGCTGGCGGCTCCCGCCGGGACTGGGAAAGGGGCCGGAGCAGAAATGTTTCTTATTGCAGCGTCTTCCTGCTTGGCCGCGGCCCCACCACTCCCTCCTCATAAACCGCTTCCGATGGCCCGGCCCGCCGACCAGCCGCCCGCCCGCCCGCCCTCCCCCGCGCGGCCCCCAGCCCCGGGGCAGCCCCCCGGCCCCCCGGCCCCCGCCCCCCCCAGTCCCAGGTCCTCCGCCGCCCCCGCCCGAGCCTCCCACATCCGCCTCCCCGAGGGGGCGGGCCTTGGACGCGGCTGCTGGGGTCGCCGGGGTCCGGCCCGGAGCCAAAGGGGCTGGAGCTCCGTGGGAGGCACCGTGGGCGCGGGGTGGGCTGGGGTGGGGGCGTCCCCCGGCCTCTCGGAGCCGCGAGGGGTGACCCGGCTTCTTGGGGTGGAAGGGATCACGGTGCGAAGGACGGAGAGAAGGTACCTGTCCTTCCCCACCTCCCGCCCCGTCCCAGGGCAGAGCGTGGGCGCACGGGGTGCAAGGTCTGGGCACCACTCCCCGGTCCTTGGGCAGTCCCGGCTGGTCCCAATCCTTCCTCCTCCTCCTCCCTCTGTCCCCCTTTCCCCGCCGGCCCCCCCAAATCCCTCTGTCTCCTCCTCCCTCTGTCCCCCTCGCCTGGCCGTCCCCTCCCGTCTTCCGCAGCTCTGTTGGGCGCGGGGACAGCGTGAGCCCCTCCAGCTGGCGGAACAAGCCGCGGGGAAGGCGCCTCTGGCCTCCGCGGGCCTCCCGGCTGGAGGGGAGGTTGGAGGGGGAGGCTCCCTGAGCGGCAGCCCCCCACCCACCGAAGGGGGCGTTAGCGAGGACCAGAGCCTCCGCTGGACAGGGCTGGACCAGGGGGACCAGGCTTTGCAGGGAGCGGAATGGCTCCTCCCGGGGAGACACACTCTCACCCTGAAAGCTGATGTGTTCCGAGCCTCCGGTTCCCCACCGCGACGCTGAGGTCCGGGACTCCACCTAGTTACAGAAGCCCAGACACTGGCTAGTCACACGGCCCCATGCCTCAGCCCCCATCCGCTCAGTGGCCGTCACAAGCAGCCTCAGAGGATTGGCTGAGTGGCACACAGGGCAGGCCTTCAGTGGAAGATTTAGTTACATGAATAAATGAAAAGGCCGAGGAGGCTGGTCGCAGCCAAGGAGAAAGCCATGGGGTCTCAGAAGCAAGCGGAGACCCCTGTGCTGGTGGGAATGCAGACTGGGGCAGCCTCTATGGAAAGCAGTATGGAGTTTCCTCAAAAAATTAAAACTCAAACTGACCCAGTGATCCCACTTCTAGGAATACTTCCTAAGAATACGGAAACACCAATAAGAGAGAATATATATACCCTTCTGTTCAAAGGAGCACCATTTACAATAGCTAAGATCTGGAAACAGCCCAAGTGCCCAGTAGATAAGTGGATTTTAAAAGCCGTGGTATGTTTACATGATGGAATACTATGCAGCTGTAGAAAAGAAGGATCTTGCCCTAACCTGTTTGGCTCAGGAAATAGAGCATTTGGCCTGTGGACTCAAGGGTGCCAGGTTCGATTCCGGTCAAGGGTATGTACCTTGGTTGCAGGCACATCCTCAGTAGCGGGTGTGCAGGAGGCAGCTGCTCGATGTTTCTCTCTCATCTGGTATTTCTAACTCTATCTCTCTCCCTTCCTCTCTGTATATTTTTTTAAATATATTTTTTACAGAGAGGAAGGGAGAGAGATAGAGAGCTAGAAACGTCGATGAGAAAGAAATATCGACCAGCTGCCTCTTGCACACCCCCTACCGGGGATGTGCCCGCAACCAATGTCCATGCCCTTGACCAGAATCGAACCCCGGACCTTTCAGTCCGCAGACCGATGCTCTACCACTGAGCCAAACCGGTTTCGGCAAAATATATTTTTTTAAAAAGAAGAAGAAGGATCTTTTGCCCTTGGAGACAACATGGAGGGACCAGAGAGTATCATGCTAAGTGAAGTAAGCCAGTCAGAGAAAGACAAGTATCACATGATCTCACTTATATGTGGAATCTAATGAACAAAATAAACCACCAAACAAAGTAGGTCCAGAGGCATGAAAGCATGGCACAAATTAATGGATCTCAGAGGGAAGGGGGTGGGAGTTTGGGCAGAAAATAACCAAAGAATTTATATGCATACTAGAGGCCCAATGCATGAAATTCATGAAGGGGAGGGTACCCTCAGCCCGGCCTGCTCTCTCTTGCAATCCAGGCCCCCTCGGGGCATGTCCGGCAGTCAGACATCCCTCTCACAATCAGGGACCCCTTGCTCCTAACTGCTCGCCTACTCCCTCCTTACTCCCTCCTTAGCACTGCCCCTGAGGCGGGAGAGGCTCTGGCCACCACCACTGCACTCGCCAGCAGTGAGCCTGGCTTCTGGCTGAGCACCCTCCAGCTGTGGGAGCGCACTGACCACCAGGGGACAGCTCCTGTATTGAGCATCTGCCCCCTGGTGGTCAGTGAGTGTCATAGTGACTGGTCATTCTGGCCTTCCACCTTAAGGGTTGCTGGGCTTTTATTATATAGACTAGAGGCCTGGTGCACAAAAATTTATGCACTGTGTGTGTCGGGGGAGGGGGGGGGGTCCCTCAGCCCAGCTTGCACTCTCTTGCAGTCATGGATGTCCACCTGATGAGTCCTCTGCAGGAGGTGACCGGATGGGCTGATCAGGGGCTGATGCCAGCTGGCAAGTGGCTGGCTCTCCCCCCCCCCCCAATCACCTCTCCATTGCCACTGGTTGCCGCCACCCCTTCAATTGCCATCATGTTCCTCTGCCCTCTGGCCTGGTGTCACCTGCTCACCAGCCCCACCTCCCACCAACTGGTCATTCTGACATTATGTCGATTTGCATATTATGCTTTTATTATATAGGACTAGGGGCCCAGTGCACGAATTTGTGCACATTGAAAGGATCTGTGGGCCTCTAGGCTGCAGTGGGCATACCGGTGGGTCTCAGCCCATCCTCCATGCTCCCGCCCAGCCCCTCCCACCATGGCCCCAGTCCCCTCTCTGCCAGCATCCCTGCTTCTGCTGCCCCTGCTCCCATGCACTGACAGCACCAGCCCCGCTTGAACCCACTGATGGTGTGGAGAGACTGCAGCCGGTGCCAGCTGCGGGTGCAAGCAGGGCCGGTGCCTTCAGCTGGTGTGAGCTGCTGCCCCAATCATCCCTCAGGAGCAGGGGGAGATGGAGACAGCGTCAGGAGCGATCAGGGCTGGCAGCTGCCACTCTCACTCGATGATGGCGCTGAGCGATCAGGACCAGCGCTCAGCAGCAGATGCGAGCAGAGCCATTGTTGGCAGCGGGTTTGAGAGGCAGCTGCTGGCCCCGATCACCCTTCAGAAGCAGGGGGAGGTGGAGAAGCTCTGAGAGGCGATCGAGGCCGGCAGCCACCACTTGTACCCGCTGATCGTGCCAAGCAATTGGGCCAGTGCCGGGTACTGGCAGCGGGTGCAAGTGGCAGCAATGGGTGCATGCTCCTGGCAGGACCATGGCCCGTGGGAGTGGAGAATTTTGACAGTGACTGGCACCCTGCCTTGGTCTGGCACCCTTGCTCACCTGCTCCACCCCCCCCCCCCCAGCCAACTCTCACCAGGCGCCCCCTGGTGTTCAGCACACATCATAGAGACGAGTTGTTTGGTTGTTCCACTGTTCAGTCTATTTGCATTTAGGGTTTTGTATATATAGATATGCGTCATCCATGGACACAGACAACAGTGTGGTGAAGGCCTGTGGTGGGGTGGGAACTGGGTGGAGGAAGGCAATGGGGGACATCTGTAATACTCTCAAAAATAAAGATTTAAAACAAGAGCAGCCCTCTAAGGCGTCTTGCTCTAAGATGGAGATTTGTAAGAGGGGCAAGGCACCCCGCCCTCTGACAGGAATAGAGGCTGGGGGAGACAATAGCTAAAAGCACCCATTGTTGACTGACTTCACTTCCTTTGCTACAAGCCTCCCCCCCCCCCCCCCCCCCGCCCCAGCTGCTTCACAACAGGAGCCTGTGAATTCCAGAACCGAGGCACACCCGAATTTCAGTGTCCGACAGACCCGTGTCTCCGAGCCAATAGGAAGTACTATAGGATTACAGTGTCTGCTCTTTCAGATTGTAGGGGCCCTTGGCACTCTATTAGCTGGAGATGTGAGAGTGTGGCTGTCTCTCTTACCCACTCTCTCCCCTGTCCTGCGGTGGCTTCTGACCAATCTCTCCCAGCCCCAGCTGGGATCTCTGTCCTGGGACGTGGAAGTCGGCCTTTCCCAAGGGAAATGTTCTTTCTGAGACACACCCTGAGAACAGAAACATCCCCTCGGACCAGCGCGGACAGCCGCCAGTGTGAGTCAGTGGGGGTGGGGGACTTATCTGGAAAGGGTTCATGAAATGGATAAAAGTGGAGCGATTTTGGAGGAGGGAGATGGGGCCGGGCGGGGGATGGGCTGTTCCTCGGAGCTGGAGTCTACACTCCCCACCCCCCTGCCCCCAGGCCCTGAGTCCTCTGGCCCCTGACTCTGCTCTCCCCGGAGCTTCTTGTGAAACTCCTGGATTCCCAGCACGCAGAGAGGCCAGGGCAGGCCCCCGAGGAGGAGGGAGCCGGGGAGACTCAGCCCAGTGAGGAAAGGGAAAAGGAATTGCAGACTGTGTCCAAGTCTACAAGAATTAATTACGCAGAGGGACCAGCTGTTCCCCATAATCGGCGAGGACAGAACAAGAGGAAACAGGCCTACAGGACTGAGATTTAAATTTAGATACTCGGAAGGATTTCCCAGCACAGCCCTGCCCCTGGGAAGGGCGTGTGGGTGAGACGTCAGCGGGTTCTCACCTGCGGAAGGCAGGTGCCGGAGCTGGCGTGAAGGCAGAGGAATGAACAGCTTGCTTTTTCAGGGCCAGCGGTGAGTGCTGAGTTTAAGCATCGCTTTTGCCACTAGGGCGGGGCCAACGCCACGGCTTCCCCCCTCTGTCCATGCAGGGCGCTACATTCCACTGAATGCTCTGCTGCTGCCATCTTGAAGTTTGTTTTTTTTTAATATGTTTTATTAATTTTTTACAGAGAGGATGGGAGAGGGACAGAGAGCTACAAAC